GGGTGAGCTCGACGAAAGGTAGTTGAGTTTGGGCAAAAAGCAGGTAAGCTCGACGACAAGCTCACCTGCTCTAAAGCAATCAGATAGCCGCTTTTAACCCATGTATAGGATAAGGTTCCGAATTCGTCCGATATTGTGCGAACATAGTCTTAAATATCATTAAACCCAGTTTGCAGGACAAATATATGGAGAATAATACATGGGTGCGCGGAAATACCAGATTTATTTCGAGTGTTGAACATGATATCTCACGAGTGAGCGCAGCGAACGAGTGAGATATCATGTTCAACACGAGAAATAAATCTGGTATTTCCAAGCACCCATGTATTTTTCTGCTTATTATATAAACAAAATTCAGTGAAAAACAATAAAACGTCCGTGGCGATACGTTTTACAACAAATGATATTTTCACACGTAAAAATATGATCGTATTTTTTACGTGTGTTTAAATACGATTTTTCTCAGTGGCTAAAAACTTTATATAACACTTATGTTTATATAATAAATTGCTCTCTTAAATTGTGCAAATATTAATGTATAAATCCTATCGTACATACCTGATTCCCAGTGTTGGTCAGCATATCCACCAAAAATACAATTATTGGCTTTCACTAAAACCACTGTCGGTCCTTTATTGTCACAATGTTTGTGAAAATCTTTGGCACTCCAACCATCTCTGGAAGCTCTGTAACAAAGATTCCATTTACACTTCTCTCCCAACCATTTCTGTAGTTGTTTCATGAAGGCAATCTCTCCTTTCAAAATACTGCAAGACGTTTTCAAATTATCTGGTACAGCTTCATTAGCTAAATCATGACCTAAATAATTAAACCTAGGTTAGCAAGCTTGCCAAAATCCCAGCAAAATCATCGTAATAAGATTGTAAGATCCTAATTATTATGATCTTGGTAAGATTATGGCAACACCTTTTAAAGATTTTTGTGCAACCACAACGTGCTCAGGCTCTTTCCTCTACACTCCTCGCCTGGAAGAAAGACCATGGTCCAGGCTGGTCACGTGTCCCCCAGATTTTGAGAAATAACAATTGGGATTTATGGGGGTGGGTTGCTAAAGAAGTCAAAGTACAAGGATTGTGAATAAAGCAACACAAATTCATTAGCATCCAAGTTGAAGACATTCAACGTCATGTATACGTCATTATTCTAAGAAACGAAGTTGTTGATTAATGATGCTTGGCTGGACGTTTGAAGTTAAACTCTTAAACATTGGGTTAGTATTGTCGATAGATCTTCTCAAAGCCTCCCTCAGCGACACAGCTTCGGGTTCAGTTTAACATCAACAAGATAAGGGAGAATCTTGCAGAAAATTGCTGTTGAGTGTTGTATATATTTGACAGAACATTTATTTAACCAGAATCATGATTGAATTTCACTTCATATTCGTCAGCTAGCGATTAAATAACCGCTGTTCGCGTAAAACTCTGTGTAGTCGATTTTCCAATTTTGCTGACCTATCCTAGCTTGTGAAACCAATTGTTTTGATATGGTCTAGCTTTGCAGTATGTAGCTGTGTTATGATTATGAATACAACATATTAAACGTAATAGGAATAAAACATCATAACGTAATATATTCAAATGATTGCACTTGTATAAATCATAAGAGCTTGCATTCTATACAGTGAATAGCTTTAAACATTGCTTCGAACGATGATTCAAAACATAGTTTATTATTGTTGTTCAAATATGGCGAATCAATTGACGAAACGAAAATATTACATGGCGTTCCAACGAAAATAACAGTAAGGATTGCGGGCGCGCGAGCGGAAAGGCGAGGGGAGAAAAAATTAATAGAAGGGCTGAAACACCGGTAATGCGATCGTTTGGTGTATTCCACATGTAGCCTGTTCTCTCGGAAAATTGCAAAACGCATCCTGCGAACTCCAACAACGCCTACGCGCTTAATTAATGAAAATAAACTAGAAAATACATGCATGCAGAAACCCTCGCCTTGCAGACAAAACCTTTTTATTTTCCGAACGTGAAGTATTTTAAGTAGTTGTCATGGTAACACGATAATTTTTTAAGAATATTTTTACAAATAAAAAATCCCCTATAAATATC